GGCGCCACCGCCCATTGGCCCGCCCGCCGCCGAGGGCCACGCCCACCTTCCCACCGCGGCCGTGAATGAAAGACGCGCGCGCGCCCCAGCGCGGGGGGACCGCGTGGGGGAGACCCACGGAAACGCCCATTAGTGCAGAATTAGCAAGAAAATAAAACCCCAAAGTTGCCTCTTTTTTTTTTCTTTTTTTTTTCGTTTTTTTTTCTTTTTTTTCTGCCCTGCAACAGGAGCTTTTCTCCTTGCAAACACTCAAGGGCTTAACATAAATCACGGGCAATCCGCTGATAAGAGCGGAGCGGAACAGAGGCCAAATCTGTCCGGGGATCAGCCTTAGCATCGCTGCAAAGTTGCGTTAATGAGGAAAAAGCCGCTCTTTGCAATTTATGTCCCAGCAGATGACCAAATAGGGAAGGGAAGAAAAAAAAAGGAATAAAAAGCCATAAAAAGAATACTTGAAGCATCAATTTGTAGACAATTTGAATATTCATGATTTTTTTCCTAGCCTTTTTGTTTTTCAGCAGCTCATACATTTATACATTATTTCTCTATTTCTCCTGAACCGTTTTGCTGCATGGTGGCCTTAATAACCTCACAGATGGGTGTTTAAGTAGGCATTGGGTTAGTGCAGTTTCTATAGCAAAGTGGAACGAGGTTTTTTTTTTTTTTTTTTTTTCCCTTTTTTAACATTAAGAGAATCCAAAAGATCTGGTGTAAACCCAGGCCGTGTGTGTCACACCGAGGCTTGCAGCAGCATAATCACATCCTTATATAAATAGGTCCTTTGTGTCCGGCATTACTCCTGCCCTTACCGAGCAGTGTGACAGGATGAAAAACTCATTTTTTTCTTTTTTCCTGGCCCTCCTTTGGGTAGGATTTTGGAAATGCGCAGTTTGCTTTGGGAAGTAGAGAGGAGCGAACCCAGGCCTTGGGAATGGGCTTTTGTTAGCCATGTTTTGTTCTTATTTTATTTTGCTCGTTTTGTTTTTTATGTCATGTCATTTCAGGCACCCTATGGCACCTACCTGCACCCAGCTCCGGCTGGCTCGGGACGAGCCCTGCCAGGACTCGCTTTATCCCTCACAATTTCTCCTCCCCTCGTAGCTCTTTCTAGACCCCAGGAAC